GTTAAATAAAAGAAAACTCTTTTGCTACAATGTATCAATGTTAGTCGTAAAACAAATGGTAAACGCCACATTGTGTACACCATTGAGTTATAGATGCACTTACGAGGTCTGCTAAGCACTCAAGAAGCTAGAGTTGCTATTGTCTATTGCCTTGCGAGACGCTTACGCTTCTTTTTGCATAGCAACCTCCTGTCTGCATCCATAACTCAATTAATAAGAGTACACTGTGGTATATACCATTTGCTAAGTGGTAAGATCAGCTTTGACATCTGTGATATAATGGTTTCTAATTGAGTTTATAGCTAGGACCCCATGATTTGTGGGGACAGCTTATAAAGAAAATATGGTGTTTCCTTTCTTCTCATCCAGTAATTATTAATGAGTTGCTAAATGGAATAGATCTTTGACATTTATGTTTCCGACAGTCCATCTTAAGCATTATGTTTTTACTGAGTATAGTTACAATTATAGCTGATGGTGGAATAAAAAATTGTTTTATGGCAAAAAACGAAGTGAAAACAGGCCTTACCGATAATGAGAAAAATGTTTAAAGGTATGATAAGATAGTAAGAGTTTTTTCTTAAATAAATAAATAATCACCGAGTTGGCCAAGCCACACATTCGCAACACTTTTTCTTCAATTGATTTATTATTATAAGTGAGGTGGCTCTCCCATAAGCCCAGTGGCTCCTTGGATCTCATCTTCTAGCTGTTATCGCTGTAAATAAATCTTTGTATTGTTAAAATAAGACAAATAAAAATGATGAATTTTGATCCCATAGATAGCTCAAACTGGCTGGCCATTCTTTTATTTCTTGCTAGCTGATCTATGCCAGCCCAATCCTCTGTGTCGTAATGATTACAAGCTGTGAATGAGATCTGATTTAACATCCTGGTATCTTTGTTGGAGAAAGACAAATCATTTTTTAGACCCCTTTAGAGAGTTTTTGCCAATTCAAACAGATTTTTATGAATTGTAAATTTATATGTAAATCACAAGCTGAACATCAACCTTTTACATCCTCAGATCAGTATGCATATTTTCCATACCATTCTCTGTACATTTCCAAAGATGCTGACAAAGAGAATTTGTCTCACGATCAAAGTTACTTAGGTTGTCGGTCATTTCCTTTATTCTCAGGATTGTAATGAATGATTTGGCAGTATTGGTGGGAGAAGAAATTAGATGCCTTTCTCATCGATTTGGAATTCGAGGTACGGCATTGGAATGGTTTCGATGGTATTTGAGCAATCGAACTCAATTTGTTAATATCAATGGAATGACCTCTGAGCGTCATGTTCTGCAGTTTGGTGTACCCCAAGGGCCCGGGGGGGTACTCGATATATTCCTGGGTGGG